AGGGACCTGTCTTCAAGGAGCTGGCGATGTATTTGATCAGCGGGGACACAGGAGCGTTAAGGAACCTCTGAAAATGAAAACACAAATTAGTGCAAATGGAATCGTAGCCCGGGGTGTGCTAGTCAGTGGGAAAGTTAAAGGAGCTAAGCGAGCATTTAGCATGTGATCAGCCCTGGGCTGTGTGCCTCCCAACCACTGAACCCCCAGTTCAGCTGAAAAGCTAGACGCTTGCACAGATGAGGATAATAGGCCGTGGAACTCTGAAAAAAAGGACAGAACATGAAGAGGATGCCACCAGCTCTGCCAAGAATGGGTGGGGGAATCTTCATAAGAGAGGGGCCTTGGAAATTAAGGGTTTGCCAGATAGAGAAGAAAAGGAAAGTGTTTTAATGCGAAAGAACAGCTTGGAGAAGAGCATGAGTATATGGGGAGGGGTGGGGTGGCCGCCATGAGTGGCCCGGAGCTGGCAGGAGCAGGGTCCCTGCGGTAAGCTAGTTGTGGCCTTTCTGCGAGAGAGTGTCTTGTCCATGCCAGACATTTAGATTTGGTTTTTCAGTGGTAGGAGGTTTTCAAGTGCAGAGTGACAGGTAGTTCCAGCTGTGTCGAGATGAATACCAGCAGGGCAGGTGATGCTGCACTAAGATGGTGCAGTGAGAATGGCTGAGGAGACGCCAAAATCAGGAAGTGTTTTCACGGTAAAATTTGGAGGAGTCGGGGAAGGAACAAGACGTGGCCAGGTAAGGAGAGTCTGACCTCTTCGGCTGAGGTCCCTGCAAGGCCAGGTTGTTCCCCGCGATGGTGGAGTTGCTGAGGCCGCGTTGTAGGTAGTAGATGATTTGCGGGCTGGGAAGCACCTCAGAATATGGAGAGCTGAAAGGGGAAAGGAAGAATGGGAAACTCAGCTCTTAAGGGGGAGGCCGGGAAGAAGGGCCTAACACATGTGACACCGAGAGAGGTGACCGAGAGAGCCCTGCCAGATACACAGAGGGACGGATCCCATACTGAAGAAGCCTTCGGGGGTCAGGCGCTGGAGTTCTGCAGAGAAGACGTTTGGAGGAGTTGGCCCTGGGATCCCTGCAGGGGTTTTCATTCAGAAGGACGTCTGGGGAGAGCAGAAGCCTGTCGCCACCGTGGATTAAGGGGGTGACAAGTGCCGCTGTTGTTAGGCAGGGAAGGGGAAAGGAGAGAGCAGTTTGCAGGTTTCGTTAGGGAGGGGGACAGTTGGTGAGAAGGGAGCAGAATATGCTCCCGACAAGAGCGATCCGCTGCCAGAGCAGCTTCCCAGAGAAGCGTGAGCTTAGGAATGGTACCTCGAGGAAGGACGCGCCTGGGAGCGTTCACGGGCAAGGCCTGTCCGCCTCTGCGAGGCAGAGGGGTCAGGGCGGCGCTCCGAAGCTCAGACACGGCTGGGCTGAGGCGGGGGTCCCAGTCTGGTGGCCGCTTCCCCTGATGAATCCAGAAGTCGGCCTTCTGGGTATCCCACAGGTTAGCCGTCGGACGTGAGTCAGGACAGCAGGTTTTCTCGTGACTGTCTTAGGAAAGGGTTGATGTCACGAAGGGAAGGCCAGGCGAGGTAAAGGCGGCCTGTTTTCCGCCCGCAGATGGAGTTCGGGGTTGTGTACAGCTGTGTGGAGGACAAGATGTACACGGGCAGGCGCGGGCAGGGCGCCTTCTGCAACGGGCTCAGGCTGCAGGTCTCCCGGCAGGAAGGTAGGTGCGCCGCGCGCGTGGCGCGTGGTCTTCAGGGCTCACGTCGTGCCGTTTTCCAGCGTTAACCTGTGGAGTCCCCCCAAGGGTTAACTGGCTCACTCGTGCTCTCTTGACCTTTGTGTTTGGACCTGAGTTTTGAGTGGGGTGGGGAAACGGGAAAGCCAGCGTGGCTGAGCCAAGGCCCCGCCCTCGGGACGTTCCTGGTGCAGTTGTTCCAGCCCCTGCATCTCAGGTTCTTTGTGGAATCCCTCAGGTCTGACCCCAGTAGCACCAGTCATTAGACAGTAAATCGGGGGGAAAGTCCACTAAAGTTGGGAATCATTAGAAACGATGTGTGTACATTTTTTCTGAGTGTGACAGCTAGCATTGCAAGCCTCCCTTCTGCGTGACGGCTGATGGAGTTCCGATCACATGTCCCCATAAACCGTGCCCCACACGCAGCGCGCTTCACTTCCTGTTCTTTTTAATGCAGCGGGAACTTAAAGATCCTCGCAAAACAGTTGGGATTCAGAATTCCCCCACACTGTTAGGATGTTTCTCCTCAAAATTTAATTCGAGAGCAGATGTCTTCCATTTCCTTTTTATTGAGCTCTAAAGGTTGGAGCATGCCTCCTGATTTTCAAGCTGTCGGGGTGACAACGGTGTGCTCCTCAGAGCTGAAGGGATGTGGGGCTTTCCTGCAAACAGCTCTTCCCCTTCTGACAACTATCTTTTCTCTGTA